TAATTTTAATTTAATTTTATTATTATTATTTTTTTCCCTAGGTCGGACATACCCTATCCGGTCCGACGTCCGACCAGACGTCCGGTCGGACATCTCGGACGGTCAGAGGGGTCTTGGACGTCCATTCCAACAACCTAGCTATTTACTAAGGTCTTATGAGAGAAATATGAACAATTACATGAAGGTATGACAAAACTTAAAGACAGTAAGTTCAATGGAGATGAAGTACAACCCAAAGACACAAAAATTACAACAATCGAAGACTAGTGAACGACAAATACACTTACTGAACTGCACCCATTTCGACGAAATCCTACCAAAATTTTATTAGGAACTTCACTACAATCATAGTGTCACTAAGTAGATTGTTAAAGAAACAACTTTTGGAGTAATAGTGCAAAGATCGCACATCAACATTTCGAAAGTTAAAGCAAACATTGATAGAGTACTTAATCTTAAAAATCTCAAATTCATCCCTACTTTGTTATTGTTATAACAAATGTTTGTGAATATGAGATAAAGTCAATTTAATAACAATGTGACAATAAGGGATACCATATTATAAAATTAATGTTTAAAGGTTGTCATCAGATAAAGCAGCGGATTTAATATATGAGGGAGAGGTATATACATTGTATGGGGCACTGTAAATATGGTGACACAATTTGATTGGTAGTCATTTTAAAGCACATTCATATTATGAGATCGTGCATTGGTTGAAAACTCAATGTACTATGTTTACTGAGCTAGTCATGGGGGCACGAGAGATAAACAATTTTGACTCCGAGGGGTCTGGCGTTCTGGGAACGCTGTACCACCAGGAGCCTAATTCCGACCGGATTTTGGCCAAAAAAAATTGTTTTGATTTCGTTCAAAAAATATAATATGTCCGTTTTGACGAAATGGTTGTTCTATACAATAATTACAATAAAACATTAAAGATGCATATGCAAAATATAGCATCCTTAGTGACATCATAGTTAGAGCATTGAAAAAGCTTTACCAAGTACTCGAGTACAAAACAACAAACTAATCGCATTTTTTCGTGTATGAAACAAAATACATGTCATGCTTATAGAGTAGTTAAGAGATTCATAGTATTATAGGCGACGAATGCCATGAAAATATGCGATATTTCTGCTAACTTACTTCATTCATATATTTGGGTGGGGATGAATCGGAATGCATTAGATTCATTTAAGGATGTAAGGTTTGCTGAAAGAATAAAAGTGCGATGTAAGCGCTCTTAAGACTAATGAGACTACTATATATCCCTTGAAGACTTGGAGAACCAGTCTTATAGACTTCATGGACAACAAGGTTATGAGTAAAACATGAAACAGACAAGGTGTGGTCATACCAATATATCAATTTCGCAAAGAGTCGTTTAGTTACAATCCAACCATATATTAAATTACATATTATAATGAACGATGCAGACTGCCAGTTAGCCCCTCGCACATAGTCATCCAATCACAACGTGCTTTGTGCACAAGAGATACATCGTTGTTTTTAGATAATGTTATGTTATTGATGATTGATAGTTTTTGTCCCCTGCTACATGATAACACCCCTCTTGAAAAGAAGTGGGAGACGTCGCTATGGGGATTTGGCAGTAAACAGTGGGTGGCTTTAGAATTTGGCGGCGAAATGTGGACAGTTTAAAAATTTTGTGGTGAACTGTAGGTAGCTTGTAAATTTAGTGGTGAACCGTGAACGACCTATTTGGCGACTAATTATGGGTGACCTAGGATTTTGTGGTGAACTGTGTGCGGCCTAGGAATTTGGTATTGTAGGTGGAATGGGGGCATAGTCCCACTTGCGTTGTGTAGCAATAAAAAACTACAGTGTGTGATTGTGTGAGGCGAGTGTGTGATGCGTAAAGGCATGCAAAGACAATAAAACTTGACAGTCATTTGCCAACTTCAGTGCGCAAAAGGGGAACCCACCATGACATTCTCGTACACTTTCCTTTAATTTTCATAAACTGCAGAGGACCAGGTTGTGTAATATACTACGCCGTAAAAAAAATTGTAAATATACATGACACCCTCTGTCCTCCGCTCCCTCGATGCTTGTGAGAACCAATAAGAAACACTCGTTTTCGACCAAACCTTGACATTTGCTCGAGATCGTTCGTTGCCCATTAGATCGAGTTCATACGTGCTCTTCACGACGGTTGCCTCCTATGTTCGTTTCCGATCCAACCCTGACATTGGTGCGAGACCGATTGCTGTCCGTTAGACCGAGTTTATACGTGCGCTTCACGATGGTAATCCGCTGACTGCACCTGCTCTACTGGAACATTGGTGGGACAAGGCCGCTGCCACCTAACTCCCAACCCACCTACCGTTCGTCGTCCAATTCCCATCTCGTCGACTGTTCGTCGCCAAATTCCCAACCCGACCACCATTCACTGCTAAGTTTCCAGCTCGACCATCAGGGCCTCATCCCACCAACATTCGTGTAAAGTAGGTGTGACTAACAGACATCGTCGTGAAATGCAAGTATGAACTCAACTCAATCTACCGGATAGCGGACGGTCCCGTGCGAATGTCACGTCGGGTCAGGAACGAGCGTTTCTTGTTGGTCCTTACTGGCAAGGTGGAGAGCGGAGGACAGAGGGCGCCGTGTATACTTCTACCCCGTCTTATGCAAGGTAGTACACGTCACATTTTCTAAGCGAGGTAGTATACTACACAACCGCGTCCTCTTGTACCTTTTGGATATAACATATGTGTTTTGGTTGATTTTATGAATATGGGACCCACACCTTGACACTTAAGATTCCTTAAGGAGTAGATGCTTGTGCCTGAGTATAATCTATTTGATATGAGAACGCATGCAAAGATGTTTGACCATGTTTTATGCATTCAACCTTAGCAATCTCTGCACCATTTTTTCAATCTGACTCGTGCGCGTTATTTCCGTAGGGGAGTGGGTTTGTGTGCATGCGTGCATGTGTGTGGGGGTGGGCGTGCGTTGGTGGGCGTGCGTGTGTGTGTGTGTGGAGAACGCGGAAAAGGAAGCAGTGCGCAGGTGAGGGGGGAAAAAGTGCCCGCTCAACACACACACGCATGCAGCCAGCCACCCGCCCACCCCCCTATCCACATGCATGCATGCCCGTCCGCGATGCAGAAAATTGCTGCATTTGCAGCTTTGCGCGGGCCCAGGACCTAAATTGTCAAAGATGCAGAAGGAAATTGAATGTTTCATTTTTCCTTTTTTTTTTTTTCCCATCAAATGTCTAAAATTGCCAGATAACTTTCAGGTTTTGCTGCCTTGCACTACACTACGGGCAAATTCACGAAAACGTTGTCCCGCCTTTGCTCGTTACACAACCACCTCATTTACTTACCATGAGGGCACAGGTGCGCAACCCGTAGTTTGTATATGGTTGATTGATAAAGGAGGCGTTATTGGTGAGGTTTAGAAGTAGGGTGAGACACATCTGTTGCAAATGTCGTTTCAACCTGTGCCCAAGCCTGCGCACTTTCAGACTTCTCCGCCCTTGCCTTCGCCCCCTGTAGCATGCAAGTGGCAGTTATATAAAGAGTAGGTGTTATTTTTGAATAAAAAAGAATGTTCTTCTTGTGTGTATATATATGTGTGTGTGTGTGTGAGAGAAAAGAGGTAGTCTTGTAGCATGGAGCATTTTAGTGTTGCGAAACATTAGGACATACTTTATTGGTATGATATTAAGGGTGTTTGTGTTTGTCGTTTGAGGGTGTTTATAATGTGTTTTAAAAGTTTTGGTTAGTTGTGGCGGGGTGGTGGTTGTAGTGTGTGTGTGTGTGTGTGTGTGTG